CGTTCATAACACACCTAAGCCACAGGCGCAGACAGTTCTGAAGGTACCCACTGTAAATAATGTATCATAGTGGAAGAACGTGGTATGAAGAAGCAAAGTTTTTGTGTCATTTCAGTGTGTTAATATAAATAACGGTTAAAATTTTAACCAACAAATTTTAAAAAAAAGGGAATTGTTTTCAGTATTTTAATAATTAACTTATAATGAAACAATATTAAAGTTTAAGATAGATAATTGCATATTATGTCCATTGAAATTCGTCACCTCTTTTTAACAAGATCAACAGTAGAAATCTTGAATTCTTCCAGTGTAACAAACTAAAAAAATCATGTTAGATTACTTTATATTAAGGCAGATGTACTGGTGACATACTGTGATCGAGTACTCACACCTGGAGAGAATGATCCAGTAGGGATTTAGCTGAGGATTTGGGCAACAACGTAGTGGGGGAAGAGGGGAGGGTAGTCACAATACCATTCAGGTTACCACTTTCCGTTGGCTACAGGACGGGAAGGAGAGCATGTGAGAATGTCCCGAGTGAAATATTAGTTCTTCATGCATTGACAAGGCAGATATCCTCAAGGCCATATGTGAACTAATGCTGATTATGTACACGTTAGATGAGATAATATGTGTATGGTGGCAAGATCGTATGAGAGGAACAGTACAGTGTGAGTAAAAGTGATTTGTGACTGGAGTAGTCAGCATCTTCACTTTAAGACATTTGCTGCGGAAGTATCTGTGGGCGGGGTTTTCTTACACCTTTTTTTTTAAGCACTACTGTAATAAGACACTGGTAGCCGTCTAGTGTAGTGGCTAGATGACTGCCTGCAAAACCAAAGCTCATAGGTTCGTGTCCTAACAGAGCCTTGGTCCCCAGCCTCAAATGAGTATGAGGTAGTCCTGGAAAGTAAAGGCAGTCGGTGTGATGTTGACCACTCACTCACTGAGTGCTGATTTGTCTGTAAAATATGTTGGCCTATATGGTCAAAATATGCCCGAAGGTGTGGAAAGGGGGCTTTACTTTGTGTATGGTAGAGACCAAATAATTAAACCAGTCAGTCCTTAAGGATGTTGATTATTAAATCAGGATAACTGAGCCTGACATATTTGTAAGGTATACTATAGTACATGAACTGTGGGTGTTATTTTTGCGAAGGAGCTTCAACATACCCTCTAGAAAGGTCAGACATCATTAATGGCACATTCTATGCCTACCACCAGATCAGGAAAGCATGAACCCTCACCATCCAAGCAATGTAAGTATGAGGTGATAACATCTTACAAATGAAAATACGAGCTTTAAATAACATGTACCAATGAAATATGAACTGAAAACATCAAAAAATTTTATTTATGAATTTAAAACGACACATAAGCACTGAAGATATAAATTCAATACCACATTGAAGCGAAACAGGGTTAATTTGCTGTTTAACAGCACATTCAAAAATCAAAATTCAATCTTTATCACTCTAAGCAACAGATCAGTAACATAAAGCAGATACAATATATTAAATAAATGATATATACAAAAAAGAGATGCAGAAACTGTCCAGTTACATAATTGTTAGTCACGGTTCCAACTTTACTGCAGATGGGTAGCCTTATAACTGCTCATTGGAAATCAAGCAACATGTCCTTCACTATCCCATTAGAAAAAGATATCAGTCCCAGCCAAATCTTGACACAAGCACAGGCAAAGTAAATGCATAAGGCAGTCATCCAATGTGCCAATGCTAACAGTCCCTCACCAGAACTGCTGATGGAAGTAAAAAAAATTATCAAAGCTGGCATTAGCCCATGCAGTATCGCGCAAGTACACACCACTCCGAACGTAAATGGTCACTTGTCATTTTCAGCGCAGTTCACAACACAAAACTGCATTAGGCGCAACAGAAACAAAATTCCACATGAAATCAGTTCTCAATGTCGGGCCAAGTACTCCTCTATAAATGAGTGATGGAACCTTTAGACTGCTAGTTCAGGATGGGGAAACTGCATTAGTAAATGAGGGCTAGAAACAATAACTTTTCATAGCTTCAATGGTCAACTAGCCTAACTGCCCCGCTGGACTGGAAATCCCTATAGAATCAAAGCAATTCTTCCCTGTGGTTAGAAGATGTTTATGGATGTTTTAAAAAAAAAAAACTGATGTTTATGGATGTTTAAAAAAAAAAACAACTGATGTTTACAGATGTTTTAAAAAAAAAAAAACTAAGTAGATATCATTTGTAGTCAAATGTCAACAACAGGCCCGCAGAGCCTGCACTGCTAGTATGTTCCCGGGGCTCATTGCAGAAACAGAGACTAGTAACACTTAACACAGACCTTTTTTTCAGCCCTTGCCTTTCAAAGGATGGCTGCACTTGAGCTACGGTTTACAGCTAGGCTGTGATATCTGCTTTTTCGGCGCTATTCATCAAATTTCAGCAGTTTTAATCGGTGATGTTCCAAGACATGCTTGTTAAGTGGCGATGTGTCTAACTTTTTAAGCCTCCAAAAATTTGAGGGACCCCCAGAACCCACACTGGGAAAGTGTGCCATTAAGAAGCCGGCTGCCAAATCTTGCACAGGAGATGGTATTCACAATTCAAAACTGGCGTGGAAAGGACTGAAGTTGAAGCTGGGCCAAGACGTCCAATTTCTGTTCATAACGTTAAACTTACTGCCAAGGTCAGAGAACAGATGTATGCAGACCATTGTTTGACTGTGAGGATGATGGCAGAGGAACCTGATGTTCAGTCTGACAAAGATATTATGTCAGATGTAACTAACAAAGGCACAGTGAGCTCTGAGTAACAAATGAGTGAAATAACACATTATACAATATATTCACAACTACTAGATCATGCTTATGATATGACCATATGTTCAAAACTGATATATGTATGTCCACAGCTGATATATGTACACATACGTAGTATGTTCATGGCCACATGTTTTCCCCAGTAGTATACGGCTGGGAGTATATACATATTTTGTCTGTAGCAAGTCTGGCTGACAGGTTCTAGTTTAGCAATGCTGGATAAATGGATTCTGAAAGAGCAAGAATTAGCTTTGCTAAAGCTTATGGTTAGGGTAGATCTGATGAAATGAATACCATTAGAAGGGCATGATAGTAGGTTCGGGGAGATCTGATGAAATGAATATCATTGGCAGGGTATGATAGTAGGTTCGGGGAGATCTGATGAAATGAATATCATTAGGAGGGTATGATAGTAGGTTCGGGGAGATCTGATGAAATGAATATCATTAGAAAGGTATGACAGGAGGTTCGGGGAAATCTGATGAAATGAATATCATTAGAAGGGTATGACAGGAGGTAGCAAGACATGGTTAACGGAGATATGATAAAGCGACTATCACTGGAAGGGCATGATAACTGGAGATGGAAACTTCTTGTAGCAAAGTCTTCTAGAGTTATGAGGCTGAATGATGACGATGAAACAATATGGGGGGGGGGGTAGAAGCAATGAATACATTTTTATGAGAAGAACACATTTTTATGAAAAGAATAGGAGTAGAAAAAAAAAAGAAAGAGGGAGAAGACAGTAATGAGGATGATAAGAAGAAGATGAAGGTGAATAAGCTGAAGAAGGAGGGAGAGCGAAAGCAGAAGAATAAGGAATGACATGGGAAGAAGTAAAAGAGGAAGGGGAAAATTAAATAATGAGAAGAATATGGAAGTGGATGAGAAGAAGCAGCAATTCATATTTTTTTCAACAACCAAGGTTACTTCTAGAATGTGATTGAATATACATTTTCAAGCATTGAAAAGAAGACTTGACTGTGATAATACATGGGGGTACCATTGCGTTGTCGTGAGTGATCATTTTTTATCAACACAAACAGATATATATACAGAAAATGTACACAAAAAGATCTCAATAGGAACTTTTTTTTTTTTTAAAGGATAGGGAGCAACTATAATTTGTCAAAAAGACTTAATAAAATACATCTTTAAGACACCAGAAAAAAGCGTAACAAGAAAAGGCACTGAAGCATACACAACAACTAAATCATTACAGGGGTTCAGTTTCTTTAATGAGGACCAAATAATGGATTTATAAATAAACTAGAGAGTTCCTTGTGTGAGTTCCTGGGCCTCATTGGTGGAGGAAAGATCTGAGCCACTGCCTTCCAACAAGTAGGTTGTAAAAGCTGACTAAGTAGGGGTGTTTCTTTCAAAATTGAAGTGCATCTGCCTGAGAGGTTGAGGAACCAACATTCTGCATACAAAGAATCCATATCTGTAAAATGGATGTGCATATAAAACTGTCCAGAAAGTACTTAGTTTGAAAAATGCCATCCTGGTCTCAAATTTGATGAGTGAAAGGGAAAATCCCTAACTGCATCTCCAAGTGGTGGAGCGTGGGAAACACACCATGGTGTGGCTAACGCAGATATGGGGGGTCGAGTATCCACCAGAATAAGTGGATTACTCCGCAGCTGGGCAGAGAAGGGCACCCACTTGTCCTGACAGTCGAAAATTACTGTCAAAGGTGCAGGTTAAAATACCCGATGTGGAAGGCAATGGGAAACCACCACATTAATTTTCCCAAGAAAACTCATGAGAACTGGATGGGCTAAAATGATGGCATGGAGGGATATCATCAAGAGAGCTGTTCCAGTCAACCAGAGATCGTGATCTGTGGAGACACATGAGTGTTACGCCAGCTGGCAGGGCACATGATAATGATGATGTTATAAAACTCAAGTTCTGGAACAAGATTAAAGTCCAGAAGTGGATGAACAACCAGAACTTTCTGCTGGAGTTTATGGCTAGTAAAAGTGAAGATATAGAAAAAAAGAAGACATTCACATCAGGGATTTCCTAAAATTCTGAAAATAATAATATCACTGGAAACAAAAACAAAAATAATAAAGGCATCCAAAAATCAACAGTTGCAGCTTGAAAGATTTCCTCAGCAGGCTGGCACCCCAATGACAGAACTTGCCAGACATTCAGCAGCTCCTCGAGCTGATCTACACAATGTTTATGCCGGTAAGCTGAACTTCCTCCCTTTCAGCACTGCAAGAACAAGAAATACACACATGACCACAAGTGGAATCATTTCACTGTGAGCTAGAGACACTTCTACATTAACCCTAAACATCATTTTCATTAGACTCTATTTATGAGATTCAGAACAAGAATTAAAACATTTAAACAATCTAGTCTCTGTGCCCTGAGGTCAACAGGACATTTGATACCAGTTCTATAATTTGATTAGATCTATTAGCCCTTGGTGGATAATGACAACCTTTATTGACAGCACACTTCCTTGTACCTGTTTTAGATCTGACTAATTGGAGATTACAGGTATATTTTAAAGGTCTTCCTAGCGTTCATCGGATGTAAACTCCAGCTGAAACTTTCGGATATTTGTCCACTTTAGGACATCAGTCTTGTTTCGGGACCTGAGTTTTGCGTTTAGAGAATGACTTGATTTATATGCAGACTGTTTGTTCCTTGCTTTCTAGGCACAAGTACTTTTAACTTTGATGGAAACACACCCCTAATTAGTAGACGACTTATATGACATGCTTGGTAGGAAGGCAATGGGTCTATCCCCATCCCCCCTCAATAGGACCCCAGAACCCACACAGGAAACATTTCTACAATGATTCTAAATATAATTTTAACTAAACAACTGTTACATTCCAGAATCGTAAAAATAAGACTAACTGTATCTCCGATTAAGAATTTGTTTTCAATAATAGAAAAGCATGTTAGAATGGAATGCAGCGTGTAAAATATTTTGTATAAGCTTCATTAAAAGCAGGTGATATCCTGTGTGGGTAATGGGGCCCTCATTGGAAACATCCACACTCGCCCTTAACAAATATGCTGTAAAGGGCAACTAATTAGAAGTTTGATAAAATCTGATGTGGTAAGCCATAAGGTGCACATATCATAGCCCAGGTGCAAACCATAATGTGCCAACCAAACCTTTTAGGGGCAGAAGAAGAAAGAGAAGGAGAAGACGAAGGTCCCGTTTCCATATATTAAAGCAATGTCACTAATTCTATCTATTTCACACCCATATATGGCACACAATGAACACATCTGATAGTATCAACTGATAAGTCAAGCTTCATTAAACAAATTCAGCCACACATAAATGTGAATGTTTGCAAACAAAAATAAATCAATATAAATAAATAAAACAGCATTTTTGTAAGATTAGTTTTAATATCTGACAAATTTTAACACAGGGTTACAGAAAGGGGGGAAATGACGCGGAAGAAATATAAAAATACAAGAAACTAAGACTCCTTATGTGTAGGTTCCTGAGCTCCTTTGTGGCAGGAACAGGGGAAAGATAAATCTACACATAAAGGATGACTAAATGGAGGTGTTCCTAGAATCAGATTTGGTGGGCCAAAGGCACAGATATCCCAGACTAGCTGTAAACCACTCCACAATGTGCCTTTTTAAGAGTGAACACAGAAGAAGAAATACTAGTAGTTTTCAACCATGAAAAATGTCACAGATCTTGCTGAAAGAATAAATGTGCTAGTTAACAACTAACATCTCTGCACAAGAAATGCTCCCACATATACTATATCCCACTGTTCAGCAGCTAACTAAAAGTTCTCATGGTACTGTTAATAAAAAATTGAAACAGAAACTTTATTACACCAACCATCCTGGCAAATTATAAAACACAAAGCTAAAAAAAAAAAAAAAAGTACCCACATGCCAAGGAAATAAAATATGACTAGGCAAGATACAAGAGATGAGGAACATAAAGTGGGATGAATTCAAGAGGAGTGAAGAAATCAAACACATGTCTAGGCAACCACTAACATCAGCTGTCTGAAGACAAGAGATGAGGAACATAGAGTGGGATGAATTCAAGATGAGTGAAGAAATCAAACACATGTCTAGGCAACCACTAACATCAGCTGTCTGAAGACAAGAGATGAGGAACATAGAGTGGGATGGATTCAAGAGGAGTGAAGAAATCAAACACATGTCTAGGCAACCACTAACATCAGCTGTCTGAAGACAAGAGATGAGGAACATAGAGTGGGATGGATTCAAGAGGAGTGAAGAAATCAAACACATGTCTAGGCAACCACTAACATCAGCTGTCTGAAGACAAGAGATGAGGAACATAGAGTGGGATGGATTCAAGAGGAGTGAAGAAATCAAACACATGTCTAGGCAACCACTAACATCAGCTGTCTGAAGACAAGAGATGAGGAACATAGAGTGGGATGGATTCAAGAGGAGTGAAGAAATCAAACACATGTCTAGGCAACCACTAACATCAGCTGTCTGAAGACAAGAGATGAGGAATATAGAGTGGGATGGATTCAAGAGGAGTGAAGAAATCAAACACATGTCTAGGCAACCACTAACATCAGCTGTCTGAAGACAAGAGATGATGGCGCTATGTTGGACACATTCTGAGAACAGAAGAACAGCCAATCACCAAACAGGCAGTGAAATGGGAAACAGAGGGATCTAAGGAACCAATGATTTCCAAGAGAAACCTTGAGGTGAACTTTGGGCTTCAGTCTTCTTCCAGAACCTGAGTTTTTGCATGCATATCCATTTTACAAATTTGGCTTATCTGTATGCAGACTGTTGGTTCCTGACCTCTCAGGCAGATTTACTCAAACTTTGAAGGAAAAATTCCTAATTAGTCCATTTGATATGACATACTTCTTAGGGGCGGGAAGTGTTTTTGTTTTGTTTGTAAACAATGGAGCAAATCAGGTGGCATCTTAAGGGTGGACTGCAGGAGAGACCAGAAGATATACAATCAGTAATGGGGTCCCAAGAGAAAAAGCCACCACAAAACCAGTTAGTTATAAATTACATACAAAGACTGTAGTCAATCAAAGTGTTTGCCCACTCAGAGAGAATGCTCTGTGACTCCATACCATAGAAGACGTACAGCAAAGGAGTAGAAGGATGGGTAGACCGAGAACAAGATGGAAAGATAACATCAGAGAAACTCTACAACAGAACAAAATGTCTATGGTTGAGGCGGCCAGAAGAGCAAGAAGCAGAATTGTATTATCTCCCTCAACCCCTAAAGTGGTAAAAAAAGGATGTTGATGATGTCTAGTGTTGTGTGTAGCATGCATTTCTAAATCCAAGCAATCACTGACTGCCGTGTGGGGAAAATGCATTCACACATGCAAGTTAGTGTGTGCACATTCATGCACTTGCATTCAGGTGTGAGCGCACAAACATCCATGCCCCTACATATGTGTATGTGCATACGTGTGCTTTTGCTTATATGTGTGCACTTTCATGCACAGGCTTGTTTATATTATGTTCTTATGTATATTATAATGTAGACATGTGTACACAAACTGACAATATGCACGGCTGTATGTGTTTGTGTACATGCATGTGTGTGTGTTTGTGTATATGTATGTGTGTGTAAGTTACATAGTTAACTGAGAGATTGTCTCCACAGCACATTAGACAGGTCCATAAGATAAGCACTCAAATCCCATCTTCAGTATATCCCTCAGCATGTCATGACTGATAACACCAGTTCTATGTTGGTTTACTATTCAACTTTGGCTATCTGTATAGGGTTCATGTTTGGCTATACTTCTTTTGACCTGAAGTTCTTGTAGTCTGCTGAGTGTTTCCGACTCACAGACAGAATTGGGTGGTATGGGCGCGTGCGTGCATGCATGCATGCATGCATACATACATGTGTACACTGCCACATTCACATACATATTGTCTGGTTGATTGGGGGGGGTGGGTATGTGTGCAGGTTCGTGAGTAAATCTTTTTTTCACTGTGAATATGTGTGTGTAAGCATTATTTACACACGCAGTTTAACAACTCAATAATGAGAAAGATTTTATTATGGCCAAAACAAAAATGTCATCCATGAGGCAAAGCATGTCAACCAAACAGGCACCATTTAACGATGAAATTATAAAACTGCCTGGTCAGCAGATGACAAGTAACCTGCCTTTTTATTTAGCTAGCGAAAGCTGCATTGTTTCATATGCAGCATAGAGCCAAGAGTAGACATTAATTTAGTTTCAAACTCAGAACAATGTTTGCCAATTTCAACATCATATTCACCTGCCATCATCCTCAGTCTGATATATATCCGTTCTCTCACTTTTCAAATGAGTGTCATACCAAACAGAAACTGGATGTCCCAGTCCTATCTTCATCTTTAATCTTTTCCACGCCAGTATTGAACTGTGCATACCACCACAAGCACAAGGCAAGCACTGATCCTCATATATTTATCTCATCAATTCAACTGTGTCACAAGCACCTTTCCGAGTCTGAAACAGAATTATTGTTTAGCCTTGGCTCCATGCCGCATATGCAACAATGCAACTTTCGCTAGCTAAACAAAATGGTTGGTCACTTTTCGCCTGCTGACCAGGCAACATAATAATTTAGCCAGATCATAAATGAATGGCAGCTGTTCGGACTACATACTTCATGAATGGCTTTTGTTTTGTTTTGGCCATAATAAAATCTGTACATAACTGTTGGGCCGTACACAATCACACAGAAATTAATTTTAATGTTCCAAATGTACAACTCAAATTGTCCACATCCATTCATGTAGGTAAATCAACACATTACTGATATGAACGTATAAACCATTATTTAAATGAATGTAGAATAAGAGCTATGAATGTAGAAAAAGAGCTACGCACAGAACAAACATAAAATAAGAATAAGGTTAATGAGCATGTTATGCAATGGGGCCACTACACCTGCGTGGTTCGGCAAATAAATCAGTCTTACCTCTTCTCTGGACCGAAACCTGTGTAAGATATATGCTTTCTCATTTCTAAATATCATAGGTGAGTCAGTGTGAAGACTAGTCTGGTATAGTTTTTAAATGCCATTTTATAGTTTTGTATCTGCCTGTAAATTTAATCTTGAGCATTCAATTGTTGTAGTTCCCCCTTGCCTTCCACATCCATATAAAAGTTTTACATGTTATTATGGGTGGCTTTCCATAAGCCATTTATATATATATATACATATTTTTTTTAAATAATTTCGACTTTAACTTTTTTATTTCCACCCAATCAACATTCTGTAAACTCCCCTTATCCAACATTCTTTAAGCTCTGCTTAACTATTATTCTCTTCACACTTCTTAACCAACACTTTTTAAGGTATACTTAACCAACATTCTCTAACCCTTGACCCTGTAACTGCTAAAAAAAAATGGGTCCTGAACACAAAGAAATAACTGAAAAAAAAATACTTTAAAAAAAATTAATTATTTGTTTATATTTAAAATTTTCTTTATTGAAATATTTTGATATAAATAAGGGGTAATCAGTTATCTCAAATACAGTGAGACATTAAATTAAATACATTTCCCAGGACTTTTAAAAAATGTATTGGGTATCTCATGGCGTGACCCCGGAACTTCTATCACTGGGGTGTATAGGAAAATTTGACATCAGCTTAGGTTTTTTTTTTAAAAGCCATTGAGGTCATAAGGAAACTCCCATGTTTGCTATTTTTTATTATGATATTAATATCCGGGCCTTTTAAACGCTTCACAGGTTTACATTAGAACCAAAGTCTTTTAGAATTTTTGAGAATAAGTCTCTGCACAATGGTGCACAATATCAGAATTTATGGGGCTGTGTCACAACCGGAAGTGACCAGGTTTAGACTTCTCATGGTCACAGGGTTGAGCCTTCCAACTAATATTTGTTGAACTCTACTTCTCCAACATTCTTTAAACTCTAATTAACCAACATTCTCTAATATATACTCTAGAACAGTGGTTCTCAACCCTACTAATTCCGCGACCCTTTTATACAGTTCCTCATCTTGTGGCGACCCTGAACCATACTATTATTTTTATTGCTACTTCATAACTTCAACGAATGCAACGTTTTCCAATGGTCTTAGGCGACCACTGTGAAAGGGTTGTTTGACCCACACACAAAAAAGGGTTGCGACCCACAGGTTGAAAACCACTGCTCTAGCACGTACACACAAAAAAACTACATTGATGTCAGAAAGTTATAAAAGTGAGCCACAGGCAAGAAGGTTATAACAATGACAAAACATTAAGACACAACTACACACCACAGAAACAGTAAGTCTGACAAGTGGCTAAATTCTAGATTTTATTTACAAATGAGCAGCCAATATAAGATATATATACACTGAAAAACCTTCAAATAATCTACAAGCATTAAAGAAAAACGTACAGAGAAAACAGGTAGTATTCAAAGTGCTTACCTTTCATGACATACAAATAAAAGAAGTCACAGTAAAGGATTGTCTGGACGCATCCAGCAACAACCGCTATCAAGTCAAAGAAGCCTTCAAAATAATAGCGGTATATCCAATTCAAGATGTACAAGGCACGATACATTCCTGAAAGCATAGGATAACATATAACACATTCAGGATAGTACCACAACAGTTGTATCAGAGAAATATAAAGTAAGAGGAATACATGAGCAAATCCCCCCCCCCCCCCCCCCAAGAATTCGGCTTGCTAGTCCCTCTTAAGATTCTGACTTTACTCCTTCCATCGGTTATTTCACTTATATATTTTTAAAAGGTAATTATATCAATCAAAGCAAGAAATCATTAATTGCAAACACAGGAGTGCACTTGGATTATTCCTAAATTACTTACTTCACAATAGTAATTATTATTAGTCTAATAAATATACAAGATTAAGAGGAAATATACTGTATGCATAAGATACTATTATATTTTTAACAAGGTGTTTTTATTTTACTGACTCAATTTTTAAAGTTTCCTATGTATACTGATTGGTTAGAACCTCTGATTCCGCTGTGGAAGATGGCTCTAAAGTTGTGTTGCAAAACTTGTTTTGTAAAGGTTTATCCAAGTTTAGGGACATGCACTTATGACTTCGATTATTTTTTTAAACAGCCAAAAATAATCTGGTGCATTTTTACAATTTGATGACAAAATTTGACTTTTTTTTAAAATAGGCATTTGTGTAGCAGTAACAGCATAAAACTTTATAAGGTTGGATGCATTCTTTTTGTGTGTTTAATACTTATAACAAATAAAGCAGCCACTGCTGCACATCAAGCAATGGATCGCAAACTGTTTCTCCCCACAAGGCTTAAGAGGAGAAGTGGAAACTGATGATGATGATGGTGATGAAGAATACAGCCATCTTTGAAGTGATTTAAGTCTCCTGAGTACTGAACTGGAATGGCATCCCACACTGAAGAGTAATAGTCTACATTGTCTGAATGTGGGAACTATGAAATATCTTTATAGTTTCATGAGCAAAGTTTTTAAATTTTGCAAGCTTGTATATTTTAATTATGTTTACTAACTTGTTTTTGTGCCTGAGAATTCAAGGCTAGATTTCTATCAATAATAAGGTCTCAATTCCCTGTGCTCAGTTTCATATTCCATGGAGGTGTTACAGATGAAGAGGTGAAGTTTTCGTTGTTATTATTACCAACTGTGCTTCGCTAATATTTATTTGCATTAAGTTTTCACAGGTCCTATGAACTGTATTCTTTAATTATTTATTTATAAAGACCATTCAAATACATTACAAGTTCGAGCACTTAGACAGACAGGACTGTATAGTCAGGTGCAAATAAACTCCATGATAAAAGATAAAAAGGAATATTGGTTTAAATAAACAGAAACTGGATCTCACCTAACGCAAACAGGTAGTGTGATGTAATTGTCTCTGCTTCACCAGTCTTGCTCATCATAAACAGCTGAGGTAGAATGGCTAAAGACTCCAGGTAGATAGAAAACGTCCACAGAATCTGTGAAATGCAAACATTATTGAATAAACACAACACAGCAGCACAATTAGATAAAATTTATAGATAACGGCCTTTATTTTTTGTTATTTACCGCTGTTTAATAATGTCCTTCCTGTGTGGCTTTTAAGTCCACATGGCTGGGAGGGGGGGGGGGTTGTGTGTATGTGTAGACCCTCCCTGACAAGTATGTCATAAAAGGCAACTAAACAAGGATTTGTTTAAATTGGATGTTTTGGACTGAAAGATGCAAATATCACAGCCTAGGTTTAAATCACAACGCAACATGCCAACCGCCCACGTAAAATATTAAAAACGCAGAAGGCATTAAGAGTTAGTCAGCATCATCTGCCTTGCCAGATGGCTTATATTGCTCCACAAATCTTGGGCACTGGTGTTCTGGTCAGATTCCATTCATGAAATCATCCCAGCATTATTTCTCTCAGTATATCTATGTCACTTTTACCAATGATCTTTCTAGTTGTCACGATGTTCTCCACCACATGACCAAAGAATACTCTTTATGGTCAGGTCAGACCATCAGGTGGGCTGCTTCAATGAATCTGCATGTCAGTTGCAGGTCCTCCATGGTTCCCCATAGCTTGCTCTGCACACTTTTCCCTTGAGGCCAGGTTTCTCTGCATACGTGTAAGTAGAGTGGGCAGGCCTGCAGAGTGGCTCAGGTGTTTGTGGGTCCTATTCTTAGACAGAAAATTATTGTATGTGGTTTTCTGTTGAATCTGCTGATGGGGTCTTGTGGATGTTTACTGCCGGTTTGTTCTCTCCACAATGTCTTATATTTCTCCTTGATAAATGATTTGATTTCTAGTAATGACAATGACTGCTGTGTTATTTCTTCTTTGTTTCATTGTTGACTAGTCTGTCAGCCCAATAATTTCCTGGTATGCCGCAGATGCTGGGATCCATAAGTGTTTTCTAAGAGTTTATTCAACTGACAGGCCAGTTTCTCTCTGCATGCTGTCTCATGGATCTCTTTGAGTCACCTGGAGGGCTGACATGCAGTCACACAGGAAAACAGTTTTGCTGTATTTATATTTACTTCCTCGAGCAATCCTGCTGCATTAATAATTGCTTGCTGCTCTACTCTTCTTTCTTCTTCTTCTGTGTTCGACATCAGTCATGCTAAACATTGAGTCCCGCCTGGGTCACAAATAGGATTCTGTGTTTAAGGTCGCCACCGGTCCCCCATAGCTTTTCTTGAAATGTAGCTCTCTTGGGCCAGATCCACAGTCTTTGCTGGGAGAGGTTAGGGCAGTACTGCAGTATGTGCCCAGGGGTCTGTCTTTCTGCTCTACAATCACAGTAAGCAGATTCTTTTATGCCTATCATGTACAAGTGTGCTCGAAGACCACAGTGTCCTGTCTAAAGTCTAAAAAATTGATGTTTGTTCTTTCCTGTTGAGTTTGTTAATGCTGTCACTCTCTGGTCTGTAACCTCCATTTTGCCTTCTCCACTCCCGCTTGAAAGACTGCTTTAGTGCTCTTTTGGTTTCCTTGTAGCTGTGTGGTGCATGAGGTTGTGGAAGATTACTCCAAGCTTTTGCCAACTCATCTGCTCTTTCACTTCCTTCAATAACACAGTGGGCGGGTATCCACTGCAAGACTAGGTATGCTTCCTTGGAAAGTAAGCTGCTCTGCTCTGAAGTTTATTGCTTCGGTGAGGCACACAAATGTTTCCCTGTCGTCCCATCCTGCAGCACGATGACCAAACCAGTCCCTCCACTTTCTGCTGCTCCCTTAAACAATCCATCAGTATATATACATATATATATATGGATCCATTCCCGTTGTGGACATGTTCAAGGGTCTCTGCTTATATCACCAGGTCACATTCTTCAATCTTTCTGTCTAGGCCTGGGATTGTTGTAACTGTCTAATTGGGTTGTAGGTCTGTGTTGTTGTATGCCCAGATCAGTTCCCACATTGCAGGGTCTTTAGAATGTCAGTTTCTGTAGGTTTTTTTTGGGGGGCACAAAACAAATGTTAATACATGGTTTCAGGTCTCCATTTCCGGGGGCGGACAGACACACTGTCTCTCAAAAAACATGCCCCCCCCCCCCAAAAAAATACTTGTTTTATTGTAATAGCAAGTGCCGGGCCATAAGATGCAGATGTTACAGCCTAGCTGTAAACCACAACACAATGTGCCAACCTCCATTTTTGGGGCAAACACAGAAGAAGAAGAAGGAAAACACAAAGCATCATTACTTACCTCAAGGACGCCAAACTCATGGTTCACAAACAGTGCCAGCACAGCAACAGGTATCACCAGGAACTCCACACGGAACGTGTCATGGCTAGAGTCATACGTGGCACGGAACTTTAAATAAATGAGGTATACGGTGAACAAGGAGCTGGAAATGAAGAAGACCTTCATCACCGAGTTGTACAAGGAGACGAAAGTGGAGAACAGGTCCAGGTACCGGGTTAAAAACACTAAAGCAAACAAGACCTGGCTCCTCCCAGAGATACCTGATTGAGAGAATATAATTATGTATATAAAAGATTAGGAGGAAAAAAATACCACACAATATATGTCAGCTTTACAGGTCTAATTACAACAGACAAACAAAGGATACATCAGCCACTATCCTTAAACAGCAGAACATAAATAAGAAACAGAACAAATTGTGAAATGACTACATTACAGCGCTGAAATAATATGTAAACAAACAATGACAGAATACATCAAGGGATACTTACCTGGATCGCTATGAGTTACTCAGGACAGAAATTAAGCAGGTTTCGTTCAAGAGTGAACAGTTGGAGAGAGGCATTACCAATCATGGGGTGAAGGAAGGGAACAAAGCAGTGAGATAGGAATGTGAATAAGTGTGTTGGAAATGAACAAAGAAAGGGTATGGATGTAAATGCCTCACCAACCTGTTAGTGTCTATGTTTAGTGGACATATCGCAATATACGATAAGGCTTATATGGCTCTAAAACCTGGAGTACAATAAGTATGAAGTATGAATGAAGCCTTTTGACAGATTTTGGAGAACCAGGTTTTACAACAAACGTGTGTTAGGATGTTCTCAAGCTTTTATTCTTATGCCTAAAATGATTACCAGGTAATGTCCTGGGAAGTAAAGGCAGTCAGTTTAATGTTGCCCCATAACCACATCACCTATAACATGTCAATAGGTCAATAAAAATGAGTCATATGCTCATGTACTACTGATGTCTTTTGCGTTCGTCCGAAGATGTAATTACCTTGTGCCCCTTTACAGCATGGCCACCATATTTGCTCCTTTTGGCCGACACATCCGACTTCTGCAGGCATTTGCTGACCAGGTTAGCCTTCCTAGTTAGTTTTGTGGGACAGAGCAGTCTCATTGTTGTGTGGTCATCTTTGTTTTCTAGTTTTGTGGGACATTGCAGTCTCATTGTTGTGTGGTCATCTTTGTGTCCTAGGTCACATGTGGTGCCTACTACTTGTATACAAATAAAAGGTCCTTTTGCTTGCACTGTATTATACTCTACTTTTCAATAATAGATAATCAGTTATATAAGATAATCATTCGGTTTTTGTTTAACTCCTTCAGCACCAAAAAGTGATTACTTTAATTTATGAGGAGTAGAAATTAAAAGCAATAAATAGTGGTCCACATAAATGGTTAAACTAATTGTTCAGATTGTCATCATCAAGAATCAGATCCACGGCAGAACATCACTCTCAATGCAGTCTGAAAGAAACTCGGTCTCTTGCCAGATCTCCCATCTCTTGCACTTTCTCACCCAAGGTGTCAAGTAGATCTGAGATTTTCCCCAGTCTGCTGTGGTGCTTGATATGGCCAAAATATTTCAATTTCCAGAACAAGATCCACTTTATGAGCCAGTCTTCTTGATGTTCAGATCTTTTAGGATGTCGATATCGCCCCCCCCCCCCCCCCCTCCATAGTATTCTGAGAAACCTTCTATAGCATTTCAGCTGAAAAGTCCCTATTTTCTTCCTTGAGAACTGTGAAATAGTCCACAACTAAAGTCATTTGTTGCTTCAGGGAAGAAGCACACTCTCATAATGTTAACTCTTGACTTCCTTGCAGAAGCTCCACCGTAGATCAGAATGCTGTTTAATTTTGCACTGCTATAGCCATCCTTCTTTTCCCTTCTAATCTATTGAAGTCTCCATTGTTGTTTACAGCCTAGATATTGAGATATTCATCAACTATTGATATTTCTGGGTGATAGGTGGTTTTTGTTTGTGGACATCACTTTGGTTTCTTTAAATTCATGAATAGTGTTTGATTCAGGGTTAATTAATATAACATTTGTCGGGTAATTTAGACAGCAAGAGCATCATATGTCTTTGGAAACTGAGAAATGCAGGGTAAGCTGTTTGTGTTTGGTATGGAAAGCATTAACTCTAATAATCTAATTTATTGAAAATAAAAATACTTGGAAAATTCAGTCAGAAACAAATTGATTCATTTAACTGAGTGAATACACATGTTTAATTAACCGTGAAGATGGTACGTTCAGATCTGATCTTTTCCACATCTTTAACAACACTACAAGACAACAGCTAGCAGGTGAGATATATTATCTCCTTAAAGTCAAAAGACAGTTATGGTTATCGATTATCTCTGACAGGGTTCATCGATCGCTGTCACGTCGTGAAACTAATTGAGAAAAGAAAACTTTCTGACAACCGAAATGATGCGCCAGGAAAGATTGTTATGTTATCAATAAATAAATTATGCAACACATTACTAGTACTACTACTGGATCGCCCCACTAATGTTTAAATTTACTTTCTAATTCACTGAAAATTAAATTACTTGAATGGTGCAATCACTAAATAATTCATTAATTGGGTAAACAAAAGTGTTTAATTATAATTCATCATGAAAAGACGATTATAAATTAACTGAATGAAATAATTAAATTAGGACTACACTAAGTTTGAGGACGAGCCGGCGAAATCTTAGCTTTTCTTACCTGCACAAGACCGAGTTTTCCACATCTTTAACAATAACAAAACAATCGCTAGCAGGTGCGACATATCTCCTAAAAGCCGAAAGATATTCATGATTAACTTTGATGTTGTTGTTCGAGGAACTGTGAAAACTTTCCGTCTGGTCGCCGACCGATGCAGACGTGGCCGATGGCGCTGTGAACTGTAGGCGCAAGGGCGGCAACTTCTTACCAACGGAAGCCCATCGGGGGTCATGTACCAATGTATGTGGTCTGTTAATACAATCGACTTCATTATTATATGTTGACGTCCCAATACGGGAGGCAATTTTTGTTAGTTTTAAAGCCCAACATCAACTAACTGTTGTCGGGGGGCCTCCTAAAGGTTGGACGCGGCTTCTGGGACTTCTCATCCGAATGGTGGCACTTTGTGTCACTGGTTGTTTATAGCTGATTGTGCGATCCTGGTGGGGTTGAATTTCATTGATGCGATTCACCAACTCAGAACAGCGGTGATGATATCTGCTATAAATTCGTCCCTGGGTGGGCTTGAACGATAATGTGACTATATCTTGAGTTGAAAACGGGACATCCCACTAATATTCTTCTTCTTCGCGTTCACCAACTGTAATCTCCGGCGGAGAGTTCTAGTTGTTCGTTCATTTCTGGACTTGTTGCAGAATCTAAGTGTTGCATGTGCATCCGTTTTACAAATGTGAGTTCTTTGTATGAAGTCTGTTGGTTCCTTGCCTCCCAAGCAAATGAACTCCAGCTTCAAAGAAATCCCACCAATATTCTGATTTAAAATGTTTTGTGGTAAAAATGGGGAAATCCCAAGCTGTTTACTTTAAACGTTTAACCCTTCTCCCACCCCACATCCTTCTGTTCTTCTCAAACAAATTCCTAGATTACTTAAACCTGACCATTTTTTGGAGTACCAACAAGACCGCTGCGGCGCACCTCAAACAGGACTGACCCTGTGAGACCGAGACGTATGTTTACCATATTGAACTACACAATTTTCAGTTAAAGCCTAACACGCTAACTGACTGCGCCACTGAGACAGGTGAAAAGAAAAAAATCTTTGGTTCAGCTGGGGATTGAACCCAGGACCTCTCGCGTGTGAGGCGAGCGTGATAACCACTACACTACTGAACCTGTTATGGAAGGTTCTGGATTCAATCCCCGCTAGACAACAAGAATCCTCTTTTTGCCTTTGGCGCATCAGGTGTGTGGTTTTACACCTATGCTAAAAATTATCAAACCAAACGACAAATAGAACAAGTCAGCTTCACAAACATAAACAAGTAAACGTTGCCACTAGAGAGTCCTTTTCGGCACTTACATAAATCTACAGTGAATAAGAATACACACACACAGAATCACTTAACTGACGCATCTCCGATAGAAGTCACATTTCTCAGTTCCCTGCCATCAAACCCCTCACATAAACAAGCCTCTCATATTTCGATGTGTCGAAGCCTCTCCTGGTACCCACGGAAATGTCTTTTTTTTACTTCTCACAGATATTTCATATATCCATCGCTTGTGTGGACCAACTCTTATTCTGCTTCTGACGTGTCTAAATGACAGTGATCTCTGGGGTGATCCGTCCTGTGGTAATCTTGACACATGTCTATAACATTTGATCTGTTGTTTCTTGATGTCATTTAGTACTGATTCTCTCGCAGCTTGTTTCCTAATATCATTTCTAGTCTTGTCTCTTGTTGTTACAAATACTGGTTCGTAGAAAGATATTTTATTTCAGTTACTACTATTTTCTTTTCTTTTTTAAAGTAGTAGTTACATTTGAAAAAAAAAAAAAAAACAGGTGTGCGACAGGAATGTCTTTTGTCGCCTCTCCTATTTTTACTGGCTATAGACTGGATTATGAAGACAGTAACTGCTAACACCAAGAATGGAATTCAGTGGACCCCTATAAAACCTGCTTGATGATCTGGACTTCGTTGATGATATTTCTCTTCTGTCATCACAGCAGCTTGGTCTGAAAATCCATAAAGGAAAGACATAGATAATGATAATAAATCAGGCAAATAGTAATGTGGTTTCCCTTAATGGTACACCTATTTAGGCAAAAACGTAGATAGAGATGGAGGAACTGATAGAGATATTAAAATAAAAATACAAAAGGCAAGCTGAGCTTTCATAGCACTAGGAAATTTGTGGAGGCCAAAAGAAATTGAAATAAATACTAAACTTGAAATTTTTAATTTTTATGTCAAATCTGTACTTTTATATGGGGCGAAAACATGGGGAACAACTTAGGGAATTACTAATAAATTACAGCCATTTATTAACTGGTGCCTGCGCAGAATAGAGGGAATTAAATGGTATGATAGAATAACTAATATAGAGCTTTGGGAGAGAACTAAACAGGTTCCAGTGGAGATCAAGAGGTGAGGAAAAAGACGCTGGCGTTGGATAGGACACACATTGAGAAAACAGGAGAACAGCATAACTAGAATGCCTTTGCATTGGAACCCACAGGGGCATAGGAATAAAGAAAGGCCAAAAAACACGGAGAAGAGAGCTGGAGAATGAAGTTAGAAAGTTGGGGAGGACATGGGGAGAGCTCAATGTAATAACGAAGGATAGAAAGACTTGGCGTGAGTTCGTTAAGGGCCTATGCTCCATTGGGGGATAGAAAGGCGGAAGAGAGAGAAAGGGAGAGTAGTAGTAGTAGTAGTAGTAGTAGTAGTAGTAGTAGTAGTAGTAGTAGTAGTAGTAGTAGTAGTAGTAATTTTTCAAAAAATGTCTGTTTAACCCTTAGGGTTATAATTGGGATATATAGTGTTAACTGAGTTCGAAGAGTATGTTTTTGTATTTTAAATTGGGCTATCCTCCGACCTACGGTCGGCAAAGATGGCGGCCGCAAAATATCCAGTCGAGCCACAGTCACGTGTCAATTGCGCGCTTCCGGCTACTTAATTTGCGGTCTTTCGGCGGTTTTCCGCCAACAACCGCTACCGCCACGTGGCGCCCCCGCCGCGTGAGCGGCGTCGATTGGGGCTAAACTAGATGGCTAGGACTCACGAGCAGCAGCTTCCGCATCTCCTGCAGCCTTGCTCGTGAGTCCTAGCCATCTCGTTTAGCCCCAATCAACGCGGCGTGGTGGCCACGGGGCGGTAGCCATAGTTGCTGGAAAAGCGCACATTAAGTAGCCGGAAGCGCGCAATTGACACGTGACTGTGGCTCGATTGGATATTTTGCGGCAGCAATCTTTGCCGACCGTTAGTCGGAGGATAGCCTTAAATTGATATATCATGTATTTACCCAGATGACCTAAATGTAGTTTGCAAAGTTTCACATTTTGCTTTGACTTGGGCCGTGACCATGATTGAAATTGTATTATGAATAATTAGACATTGTACTATGAATAATTAGACATTCTACTATGAATAATTAGACATTGTACCATGAATAATTAGACATTCTATTATGAATAATTAGACATTGTATTATGAATAATTAGACATCCTACTATGAATAATTAGACATTGTAACATGAATAATTAGACATTATATTATGAATAATTAGACATTGTACTATGAATAATTAGACATTCTACTATGAATAATTAGACATTGTACCATGAATAATTAGACCTTCTACCATAATTAATTAGATATTGTACCATGAATAATTAGACATTCTACCATGAACAATTAGACACTGTCCCATTAATAATTAGACATTTTACCATGAATAATTAAACATTTTACTACGAATAATTGAACCAACTGCTCCAACATGCTGAGAGAAGAAATACAATCTAAAATACGATCTGAAATAAAGTACACTATGCCCTTCAACATCTGTTAAAGTCAAAGTGTCTCGCAATACCAAGATCTTTTTCTTCATCTTCTTCACCTCCTCTTTTACCGCTGTGGGTGTCGAGGGAGATATAAGGTTCTGTTTCTAGCTCTTCTGGCTGCCTCGACCATAGGCACATCGTGCTGTTGTAAAGTTTCTCTGATGTTATCCTTCCATATTGTTCTTGGTCTACCTCTTGCTCTACGACCTTCTTCTCTTTCCATGTTTGCTTTGTGTGGTATGGTGGGCAAACCATCTCACTTGCTGTCTTTGTATGTAATCCAGAATTGGCTCTGCGCCGACTTTTTCTCTTATGATCTCATTCCTGATCTTATCTCTTATGGTCCTACAGCCCTTCTCAGACATCTCATTTCCATGGTTACTAATTTTCTTTTATGGTTTGTTGTGAGTGACCATGTCTGGCACTGGTAGCACAGAGTTGGAATAAATATGCTTTGAATAAGATGTCTCTTTGTGCTGATTGGGATTGTCTTATGCTGTAAGAGGGGTCTAGCTGTCCCAATACTTGGTTTGCTTTACTGCATCTAATGTTAATTTCTTCATCCAATTTCCCATCTTCGGTAAATGTAGTTCCCAGATATTTAAACTCAGATGCCTGTTTAATGCCTTTGTTCTCTATTGCTATGTTTAGACCTGTCTTCTTTTTTCCTATTGACATTATTTCTGTCTTTTCAGTGTTGATTCTCATATTATTTGTTTTACATTCTTCATTCATGGATGTTAGATGTTGTTGCAATTTCATGGCTGTATCTGCTATCAAGGCCGGGTCATCTGCAAAGAGTAATTCGTTGATCAGTCCGTTTATATCTCATTGTGTTTTCTGTAGCGATAACATAAAGATCAAAATATATCAAACGTTGATAAGACCAGTCGTGTTATATGGCCCTGAAACTTGAAGCACAGCTAAAAGAGATGAAGGCTTATTACAGGTTTTCGAAAATTGTGAAAATATGGGGGTGACTGCAGTCAAGCTAATACAAGGAATTCCAGATACATTTGAATCAATTTGATTTTTGAGTCAAATTTCTCTGGAATTCAGGTTTTCGAAAACGCGAGTATTACGACGAATCTTTGCACCTATCAAAGATGCAAACAGCGGGGGATAGAGAAGCAACAACGAAATTCATGATCTGTTTAAATGACCATTGATCATTGGCATCATGAGAGCTAACAGGATGAAATGGTTGGGGCAAATTGAGAGAATGTCAGATGACAGAGAGGTTTGTTTGTTTGTTTTAGTATCCAGAAGCCATGAGTTGTTAACCCTTAGGCTCGGTATTATGGATATCGCAACCTTTCGGCCTTGATTCCATTGTAAATACCGTAAATCAGAGAAATGTGGCTTTCCTGCCTACCCCCGGGATTGAACCCGGACCACAAGGAGTTTGTCACCCGGTCTCTGCGCAATCCGGTTTAGCCAACTACGCTAGAGAGCCGGGCAATGACAGAGAGGTAAAAACTGTAATCACGAGGGAGATGAATGAGCGCAGACAACGAGGCAGACCAAGAAGACGACGGAGAGATAATGTTCAGGGAGATTTGCAAATATGTGGTGTCACCAATTGGAAAGAGAAGGCCCACCAGATAGATGAATAGAGTCAGGTGATATCTGCAGCAATGAACCTCAAGGGCCCGGAACGCTAAAGAAGAACTACTGTCTTCAACTATATGACGTCGATTCTAGTTAATCAGTCGTGTACTCTCAAAAGAAACGGGTTAAAACAGAATACACTGTCATCTGTCCTACGTACCCTGTCCATCCAATATGTCTGTTTGACCAGCTGCTCGTTTCTTTCAGTTGCCTTCAGCAAACCAGACGAACCTCTGGTCTGACCATCCCATGTGCTTATCTGGCATGGAGCAGTGACACTTGATCTCCTGGACCATACAATCTTCGCAATATATGGGTAGAGGTATGTTGTGTGCAGAGTAGCAAGCATCGATTCAGAGGTCCCTGGTGGTTTAGTTTGCGTCCTTTGAATATTTTCTCTAGGCTATGCAGGTGTGTTGGGAAACGAACAGGCAGATAAATTGTCTGGATCTGCCCCACTTACTGGTTAATTGATGCATGACGAGCTAGATGTTGTAAGGGTTCTCTGGGCCCATCATCATCATCATCATCGACCGCTTCTGCTGTTAACCATCGTGGGGAGGTTGCGATCCGGTGCACACTGACTGGCACTGGCTATTGTAATGTCTTAAAGGCGTAGAGTGTCTTTAATGTTGTCTATCCATTATTTTCGTCGCCGTCCTCTTGCTCTTGAAGCTGATCTTCTGAGATGTAGTGCTTGTGATGGTATTTGATGTAGCTGTGGCCAAACCACATGACCTGCTGCTTCTTGATGAACGTTTATTGTCCCAATGTATGTGGTGTCGGTTGTAACGTCTTCACACACTACTGAAAATGTGACAAACTTTATGTTAATATTTTCTCTCCTTCGGTGAACCAGAGTCAAGTTGTAGACCTCCACCAGGCAGCCACAAGAAGCCTTGTTGTCCACCAAGATGTCTTACTGCAATGACGGCATTCACGATGAGTAGGATCTGTTGTTAAATATTTAAAGAAAAGAGGCGGATGTGCTTCTGTTTGTTTACGTCCACTGGCTTTAAACCTCGGTTGTTCGTTCAGTTCTGGACTTTGGCTTTGTTCCAGGTCCTGAATTGTGCGTGTATATCCTTTTTTTTTTTTTTTTTTTTACAGATCTTGCTTATTTGTATGCAGACTGTTGGTTCCTTGCCTCTCAGGCAGATGCATTCCGACTTTGGAGGAATCGCTCAATTAGTCGACCCTTTTGACATGCTTCTTGTGTAGACACTTGGTCTATTTTTGTTTTCCTCACAATAGGACCCCGGAACCCATACGCGGAAGGAGGAAGAGGCGAATATGTGTGTGAGTGTGCGTGTGTGTGTGTATGCGTGCTTTAATATGTCTGAGATGAAACAAACTAAATATAAATCCTGAAAACAACAGTCCTGTAATCCCATGGTATAATTGTGGAAGACTTTTCTTAACCCGGGCGGGTCTTGCTAATCATACTCGCCATTGCCATGGGCTGTGAGTCCCATGCCTCACATTGCGCACCATACCACTACCGTCTGGAGAGACGGAAAGGTGCCAGTTACCATTGCATATCCATATGTTTCTTCTCAGATGCTGACTTCTTAAACTATCCGCAGTCTTCGTCGCCTCAGTTCTCGTGTCCTCACTGATGTTTTCCTTCACGCAACGCGATCCAAGTCATGTGTGTCAGAACCTGATGAGAGCGACTTTCTGCACAAGGACCTGAAGTTGCTATCCTTGTGGACATTCATAGGCTGTTTACTGAAGTAGACTTTGCTATATTTTATCTTGTTTCTGATATTCTTCTTCTTCTTTCTTCACGGGCTGCGTGGTCTCGAGGGCTAGAGGTTCCGGGTTCAATCCCCGATAAGGGCTGGGATATGTTGACGTGGACTTAGACTTCTAGTAATTCCCCCTGGTCTCTGGGTAGTGAGATCGGACGCCCGTGTGCATTGTTACGCTCGTTAAAAAAAAAAATCTCTTTCAGCTGGAAACCGAAAAGAGCAGCCTAACGGCGCTGCCCGGGCCAATATTTGGATTCTAAAATCTACCCAAAGTATTTCAGGATCCTCGCCGTTTCTACAGAGCCTGTGCACTGCGCTGAGCTTCTTAGGACTCGGAATCGAGTTAGAAGAAGAACGGAACACATTTATGGGTTACTACCCGTGTGCAATGATGTTGGTCCGTTGTTCAAACTTCAAACTGTTCCTCAGCCTGTGAGCTCAAGCGGAAAGTCCAGGTTGTTTTTTTATTTGGACTTGGGCTTTGTGCCAGCTGAATCTGCAACCATTACCAAGCTGCAAGAACAGCATGTAAACAGGGATGAAGCCAGATACAAACAATATACGGGAAGCTAAAGAAGAAGAATCAATTAATACAGAACTGGTTTGATCTTATCAGCTGCTAAACTCTGAGGGATATACCACAACCGGCTCCAGCTGACTGGCCGTGCTGCTGACGTCACCGGGTCGCGCTAAGAATGCGTTAACTTGACCCAGTGAGGTCATCAGCACGGCCCGTCAACTGGAGCCGGTCGGGGATATACTGTGAAGAGGATTCTAGCACTTATATTGCGGAATGGCTCGATACACAGCGAGGTTGACCTACTGACTAGATAACTCAATCTCTCTAATAGAAATATACTGTTAGCTGTATGTTCATCTCTATTATTCCAGTGTTTACGAAAGATGGCTGAGGCGACGCCTAGACTATGCAGTCATTAGAGAAACTGGCAACCATGCGGCTCCCGGGTTCGTGCACACAATTCTTCATAGTGGCAGTGGACACCGTGCCGTGGCCAGGTAATCGTTTCACTGCGTGCCAAATAAAATTTGCTGCTGACATATTCATTATAGGGAGAACAAGAATAGACCCACTGCCTCCCCAAAAAGCATGTTGTAAGAGTCGACCAATTGGGGGCTTCCTTTGAAGTCGGAGTGCATCTGCCTGAGAGGCAAGGAACCAGCAGTCTGCATACAGATAAGTCAGATCTGTAAAACAGATGCACACGCAAAACTCGGGTCCTGGAACAAAGCCAAAGTCAAGAAATGGATGAACAACCAGGTCTTTCCACCGGAGTTTAAAGCCGGTGAAAGCAAACAACAACAATAACATAACCTAATGCTCTTCTTTCGGGAATGCTAGTTGGACGTGAACCCCCCCCCCCTTTTCTGCTCCCCCAACCGCAAAGCACCTACCTACCCTTGATGCCATAGAAACATTACAATAAACAGATTACTAGGTATTGGTTTCGATGTTTGTGTTGTATAGTGCGTCCTGTCTTTACTTTTTTCTCTTGAGTGTCAGTCTTCTTCTCCTGTTTGTTCATCCTGCCAATGGTTTTCAGTTGAATGGGCCACAAGCCTCTATGAAGTCCGTGGTGTGACGCGTGTCTTCCAATGTTCCATACAACTTGGTTTCTATTGGAAGTCCAACCAGTCAGACCTCAGATCTCTCTACTGTAGCGGTTCTCAACCTACAGGTCGCGACCCATTTTTTGGAGGGTGGGGGGGGGGGGGGGTGTGTTGAATGACCGTTTCACAGGGGTCGCCTAAAACCACAAGAAAACACATTTTTATTGAAATTATGAAGGAAAATACTTGTTTGTGGGTCACTACAACCTGATCATCGGTCGCGGCATTAGGGAGGTCGAGAGCCACTGCTCTACTACACGTAGATAGCATGTCTGTAACTCAACTTCCGGTCAAAATGGACGCTAGGCACGGTCACTGTTTTGCGTCGTGGCAAACGTTTTTTTTCCCTGCCAGACGGTGGCCGTTGCATTTTTGCTCTATTTGTAGAGCGAAAGGATATAGTTTCGTAGCCCAGCAACTGAGCTGAGTGCATGGTGCCACACTGTGAGCTGCGGATTTCATTCGAAATGTTTTTTGACTGTGACCAACGTGATGTTGTGAATTGTATATTCAGAAAAAGGCGCGTCGTCTGTCGTTGCAATATTGGTGCAATATTATGTGATTAAAATTAATCGCCTGTCAACTGCTGATCTGTTGGTAATTTCTACTACCGTCGATGATGAACTGCATTTCTGATGGCAGACTGTTTGTGTTAGCACTTCTGATGGCTACCGCATGCTTTTAATGTGTGTACATCTAGTGCTTATGGTGAGACAACAGTCTCTCAATCTTTCCACAAGGGACTGTAATAAACATTCTGTGTGTTTTTTGTTGGCACAGGAGCGGAGCAACTATGGGGCGACCCGTTTGCAATGAATGCGAAACTAACATTACCAAGATTACTTTTACCAAGATGTCTGTAGCTCATAACGGTATTCTATGGTTGCCTGTCAACGTGGGCAATGTTAGGAATCATTTGACTTGACTTTCTTGTATATGTGAGTGCCGGACAATACATGTTAAATTATTTATCATATAACATTATATTATACAATAAATAATAAAGGATCTTTTCCCACGCCTTCTTTCGTATTGGGCATATAAGGCTAGACCTATATTTTTTAAAAGACAAATCGGCCCTCGGTGGGTGTGGTCAGCATCACCCCGACTGCTTTTACATCCCATGGCTTTGCCTGGTACCCATTTAAGGCTGAGTGGACCTGGAAGCCGTCAATATTAAAAAAAAAAAAAAGTGCGGCTCCATCAGGGTTTGAACTCACGACCTTTAGATCCGCAGTAGAGTTTCCAGCCGCTACACCACGGCGGCTGCCTCTATACCATACACATTTTAAAATATATTAGGCTCTCCTCCGAATTTCTACCACGGCATTATGGCGGCCAAACAAAGATCCTTACAGGGCTCAGTCCTATTAAACATATGCGAACTTCCGGCGACGAACGAATCGCGGCAAAACTAGCATTACCTGGACAATTTTAAGAGACGCAACACTGCCGGAGATGCGGTAGCTGCTGCTCGTGAGTCCCAGCCATCTAGTTTAGGCCCCGTCCGCGCCGCGCTTAGCGTCGCCTGGGATATTGTCGGCGGTGAGGCATAGTCACATAAATAGGTCCGCAATTAACTTATCGCTGGGACCCTGTTAGAGCAGTTGTTTTGTTATACGGAGCCGATCCTAGTTTTGCCGCGATTTGTTTGTCGCCGGAAGTTCGCACATTTTTTATAGGACTGAGCCTTGTAAGGATATTTGTTTGGCAGCCATAATGCGGAGGTAGAAATTCGGAGGAGAGCCTATATTATATTTCTGCCGAACGTCGTATGTTTTTTGTCTCGATGGAGGAGGCATGGTAGCTCTGTGACTGGGACGCTAGCCTATCAGCCCCGTTAGTCAAGATTCCAACATCATAGCAGTCCAGTCGCCCCATTACTGCTCAGTCACTGCGCCAGTGTAAATTGTACAAAGTATTCTTCACTGCTCCATTCAAAAACTAGTCAACCCCAGCAAAATCTTGAAGCTTGCACACGCAATGTAAACAACACATAAGGCAGCTGTCTGAAATGTCAGCACTAAGGGTCTCAGATCAGAATTGCAGCTCGCTCTAGGCGAAAACGACCCATTGTGAAAGCAGGCAAAAATATACGCTGTTGTGATCGTAATCAGCAATCTTCCATTTTAGTGCACCCAACAACACGCCGCTCACATAGGCGATACGTAATCCACAGCTCACGGTGTCGCACCAAGCACTCAGTTCCGTAACGGTCAGGTCCGTCAACATGTAGCGGGTCGTTTACACTACGTCGATCTCACGAAGGTAGCTCTCCTGCGCCATGCACTTTCCTTTCTAAGGTGTCACCTATATCATATACCTGTCTTGGCGCTGGTCGTCGCCTGCTCCTCTACTTTGGTACCGTGCCTTCTGCTAATATTTTTCCCAATCCACCGTGACACTTGATAAAGCCAAAATATTTCAATTTCCGAGACAAGATGCTGTTTACGAGCAAGCCTTTCCTGATGCTCAGATCTTTTAGGATGTCAGCAGTTCTTTTCTTCTGGGTCTTTCTTTGTAATACATGAATCTTTTTATTGCAATTTCAGCTCAAACAATTTTTCAGACTCAGCACTTAATAGTAGTAGTAGTAATAATAATAGTAGTAAAAATGTTAATAATATTAAAAATAATAGTACTAGTAGTAGTAATAATAATAAAAATAATAGTAGTGGTAGTAGTAGTAGTAGTAGTAGTAGTAGTAGTAGTAGTAGTAGTAGTAGTAGTAGTAGTAGTAGTAGTAGTAGTAGTAGTAGTAGTAGTAGTAGTAGTAGTAATAATAATAATAATAATAATGACACTCCAATAAGTGCTCAGTTCCCATCTATAGCAGCAAGCGAAGAGTTCCAATTCCGATGGTACCAGTAACCGTCTGGTTGTATATCCGTTTCATCCTTCCCCTGAGTGTTGAGTGTCGACCAGATCCCCTGGTAACTCCTCGCAGCGCCATTCTCATCAGACTGTAATGATCTATCTGCGCCTCCACGCTGTTTACTCGCTCCCAAAGGGCCCTCACAATATCTAACCTGTCATACATCAAATCACCACCAAGTGACGGAGAACCAGTCAGTCTATCTGCCTGCTAGTTTCCCAAGACACCGGCATAAACCTTTGCCGAGATAATATGTAGGGAGAGGGAACCTGAGAGCCTGAATGTTATCTCTGTGTCGGCTCGCCTGTGAAGAGACTGTAGATCACTTGATAGTGATGATTACAAAAGCTAATATAATGGCATTTAACGTGTTTTATTCTCTCTTTCAGCGAAGTCCGAGAAGAATTGTGGAAAAACAACAGATACCCCAAATCGAACTTCTTTCAGCATGGCCAGGTTTTGTATGGATTTCCGACCTACATCAAGGACACCTTGGACTTGAGATTTGCAAACTCTCCTCATATGAGAGAGAAGTGAGAAATAGCTACCATCATCATCATTATCTTTGTCCTCATCATCATCAACATCATAATCGTAAACAACATCCTCATCATCATCCTCATCCTCCTCATCATCACCGTCACCCTTTTCGCCATCATCGTCATAATCACCCTCCTCTTCTTCAATGTCATCATCCTTGTTGTCATCATCATAATGACATCATCATGTGATGCTTCAATAGAAGATGTACTGACGGTCTATGCATTTTGCTATACACAGTTTAAACAACCTATTTTATTTATAATTAAACTAAAAAACTAAAAAAAAAAAAAATGTTAACGCAGATTATTGTCAGTTCAAATGCTCTCAGTTTTACAATTGCTTGACCCCTTCCTTGAAACTGTCTTGCGACCAACTAGAAAGGCGTGCTTCCGACCCCCCCCCCCCCCCCCCCCCTTCCCTCCCAGACAGAAAACCCGTGACCTAGAAGATTCCACCACGACCGACTCCAGCTGATGACGTCACCGGATCGGACTGACGATGAGTTGAAGCAGCGGTTCTCAAACTGAATGCCGAGGCACCCTGGATGCCGTGAGCTTATGCCAGGGGGGGGGGGGGGGGGGCGGCAATACAGAAAAGTCGGCTAAAAATTGTGAAATTATTAAAGAAGGCATGTAGATACTTAAAACTTAAAATTTAAGTTGTCTTTCCTCGCCACTCTCGAAAATAGTTTATTTCTTGTTTGAGAACTACTGCGTTAACGCATCGTTAGCCTGACCCGGTGAAGTCAGCTGGAGCCGGTCGTAATTTCACCCTCTGGTAACATTATCGATCCATCTGCCTTGTCGTACAATCTCATTCTAGGTGCACTCTCAACCCAGTACTGCGGACCAACACTTATAATCTTTCTCTGAAAGAGATCGCCACTGTGCCCAACTGGCTAGCGCCGCTGACGATCAGCAACTGCCCTTACCCACACACGCTGGAGACGCCTCTGACGTGGACACTTGGAGAGAAGCCAGCCCACAAAGGGATACAGTCGTGTCCGGTAAGTGAAAGAGAAATGTTGATACTGCCGTGCCATAGATGTAGAGTCCCTGAGTGGCCTACGACTTACTAAGGGGGCAGGGATGTACTAGCGGGAAGAGTGATAAGAAAAAACAAGAATTAGGGAGTTGAGGAAGGAAATGTTGTTAAGACAATATGTAATTCCCCGCTGAACTGCAAAAACTGGAAAAGTAGAGAAAAGAAAAGGGTTTTTCTGTCCAGGGGCCACGAATGTTGATCATAGCTCAGGCAGTGAATATGCGAATAGCTAAGTTACACAACAATAACAACGCCTAACCAGACCATGAGCACGAACTACAAGTTCGATCTTGAATCAAGCAAATGAATTTTAATCACAATGAAAATCAGTTAATTTTTCAGAATACAAAACTAACGTTTTTCACAGATAGTACATTAACAAGCAACACAGTGTTCACACAGACTATGTGCTAAGCACCCCAGCTAATCAAGATGAGTTCGCTTTCAGCTACCTACAAATACAAATCTCCAAGCGAGATAGACATTTAAATCTAGGTCTAATACATAATAACCTACATCGTTGGCCTGTTACAGAGAGAAGAATATAACAACTGCTGAAATCGTATGTGTTGGGCTGAAAAGTGCACATACTGCAGCCTAGCATAAACCACTCGTAAATACTCTTTCTGGAATAGTTAACACAATTACAGCTAAGATAAGTTACTGAAACACCGGTATATAGTAGTGATATTCTAAACTAACTGTTACATGGGTCTTGAAACTTGACGTAAAACACGCATTTAATGACGGTGCGAAAATAATTAATTAAAAAAAGGTAGTTTACCTTCATTAAACATACAACCTATATAACAAAACCACTGGGAAGATCTGTGGAAAGAGAGACAGAGGAAGACAGCATGAGAAGATTCTGGGTAAACCTTTGTCATGGCATGGAGGGGTGTTAACACACGAGCTAATACCCACAGTTGCGGTTCGCAGAATCTGGAGAGGCATGATCCCTAACGCCACGGGGCAAATCACTTGATAATGATGATGATATAATAAAAATACTATTAAAGGACACATTGCTGCTTGTTGTTATTTACAATATATTTGATACTGCAATTTCCTAAATTTTCTTTTACAGTTGACAGAGTGAATCTTTGATTATTGTTGAATAACTTTATGTTTTCTTCATGTTTGCCAACCTGTGGACTCAGAATCCAGCCAGAATTAACAAGCCGGCATATCCGGAATGTTGCTATCGCCATGACAACGTCTGCAGCGCTGTCTACTGCCATGACCCCTTGCCAGAGACCGTCTACATCCCCGGACCATATGGCAGAGGTGAAGCTCATTTCAAGTGGCATCTCAACCATCCCGAGGGCAAAACAGGAACTACCATCTCAAGCAAAACAGAAGCTTCTAGACCTCTTAAAGAAATTGATTCTTCAAAACGATGTGGTTGTTAAATACAATAAAAGTTCTTATTATATATGTCATTGTCAACGATCTTCATTACAATTCTGTTTCTTTATTTCATTATAGAATATACCACTTTCATTAATTATACTCTCAGGGAAGTTTTGGGAGTAATACCTTGCATCAAATTCGATCAATCGATCGATCGGTTTGTTCTTTCCTGGCCGTTGTCCAAAGATTTCAATGAAAATCCAGGCCCAGGTGACATTGTATATATAGATGGGTCTGTAGTGAGAGCGTAAAAAAAAGTGTGTGGTGTTTAGTTGAATGGACACAGTCTGAAATCATAGAACCTTGCACATAATGTTACAACATCCAGTTTGAGAATGGGGGTGGAGGCAGTAACGGGAGATTTCAGATGGCTAGAGAGCTACACAGCTCGACATGTTGCTCCCCGTGTGGGTTCCGGGGCCCCATCATAGGGAAAACAAAAATAGACCCTCTGCCTACCCAAAAGCATGTCGTAAGAGTCGACTAATTGGGGAGCTTCCTTTGAAGTCGGAGTGCATCTGCCTGAGAGGCAAGGAACCAACAGTCTGGTTCAAGTGAATCAGATCTGTAAAACTGATGCACACTCAACACTCAGGTTCTGGAGCAGGACTGCAGTTCAGAAGTGGACGAACAACCAGAACTTTCCGCCAGAGTGTACAGGTGGTGAACACGAAGAAAAAGAAGAAGACATGTTGCAACTGTTAACGGACTGGCAGATCATGCTTAGGAAAATTGAAACTGGCATTCGACGCGTAGAGTGGCTAGCACAACTTGATACAATTCAAATCAGGAGCACATCATGGGTTTTTTTCCACGGATATTCCGGTGTACGAGACAATAAGCAGCCTGATTGTTGGCTGCTGCCGCTCCTCGGTGTGGTAAGCTACTTTATTACAAAGTGGACGCGGGGAAGGCTCTCTAGGATCAAATAGACAGTGCAATAGATCAGACAGTGAATAAATATTCAAAGAAAAACAACAC